CAAGTAGTCTTTGTTCCCCTGGACATTTTGGTCTTTCCCTGAGATGCACTTGGAATTGTCCCAGGATCCCTTGGAATTGTGAAGGAACCCAGCAGGTGGTGCACGACCTCACTCAGCTCTATGAGGGCACCCATCCTGTGGGTTGGTGTCCATGCCATACTAGTTGTGACGTATTTTAGATGTTACTCCCTATTACATACGCAGTAAAACATCTTGCTGTTGGAAACACATGTGCAACGTTGAGACAAGAACCTGGGCACTGTCCTACTCAGGTGCCAATCATTGGGTCAATAGATATTTGCTGTCTTCTTCCCAGGAAAAGTCACTCACCATACGGGGACAATGAGTCAATGTCATTTCGATGTGCTTCCATGAGTGGTTGAACTCAGTGCCTGGAGTGGAGCACACAGTAGGTATTTTGCTACATGGCGAGTGTTTCGTTAAGGACTGTTCTGGCTCCGAGGCTGGAGGCGATAGGGACAAGGAGTCTAGCCAGCAGATTAAATACAGCTAGGAAAAAGCGGATTCTATGATGGCTGAACTCTCAGGAGGAGGAAGAGGAGGGACTGGCAGGCTTTGGAACAAGGTCCATCAAGGTCGAACAGGGTCATGTTCAGAGCTTGGTGGCACAGGGCAACAACATTCAATGTTGCTCCCAGTTCTGTGGATTAGAATCTAGGAGCCGATGAAACGTGTGGTACTGGCTCAAGGTATTTCCTGGGGTCAAAGCACGGTGTCCACTGGGGAGGTGGTCACACTTCACATATAACATACAGGAAGCCTAAAAGGAATTTCATACAGCCTTTTCTGTTTGTTTGATGGTGTGAAACTTGCCACTTGAGTTTCAAAGCATTTCAGGCTTTTGATTTGGGGGTCAGAGATGCTCAATCCGAATTTTAAACACAACATCAGGAAAAAAACAGGGACTTTGCGTATTTAACTACGCACCTTACAGGGAGAGGGTGAAAATGTTTCCAGAGCTCAGCGGTCTCAGGTGTCTTAACTCGGCTTCAAGGGGATGGGGTGGGAGAAACACAAAGATGGAGCCACAAAGCTGGTTGTAGAATATTCTGTGAACAAAAAATAGAAATGGACACATTGTTCAATAGGGGATCTGTCAAACACCTAAGGGAACACAGCATGCCTGGATCCGGTGGTTATTAGAAAGCACGAGGAATATATGAAGGTTGATGATCTACATCCACTAGCAGGCTTCGGAACAGAGCCGTGACATTTTCATGTTTATAAAGTATGAAGCATAGAAACAAGAGCTGGGGAGATGGACATCAGCAGAGCATTTGCTAGAGAAGCGCTCCCGAGTTTGGTCCCGCAGAACCCACAAAGAAAAGCCAGGTGTGCTGACGTGTGTCTGGACTCTCATTCCTGGGAGGCAGGGACAGGAGCCCCCTGGGGGCTTGCTAACCAGCTAATCTACCTGAATCAGCCCTGAGCTCCTGAACCAGCCGCAAGCTCCAGGTTTGGAGAGCGAATTTCTTTCCAAAAAATGCAGTGGATGGGCTGGGAAGATGGCTCAGTAGATAAAGGAACTTGATGCTAAGATCGATGACTAAAGTTGGATCCCTAGGACCCACACGGTGGGGGAAGAGCATGAACTCTTGCAAGGTGCCAGGGCTTACAACTGTTGTACGTGCGCCACGACATGAGCGTGCACACACATTCTCTCTTTCTCTCTCCCATACACACACACTTTTTTTTCAAGCTCTTCCAGAATGCCAGCAGTAGACACATATAGTTGGTGGAACTGCAAGTGGTGTTTATCATATTTTATTTTGGTTTTGTTTGCTTGTGTTTTGCCAATCTTTTTTTCCCCCCTGCTATAATGACTATATGTCACTCTGGTAATTAATTACAAGCTTCAGATGTTCCCTTGAAAAGGACCTGCCCAGAATCGGCTAACACTCCTCAGGCAAGGGCCCTAACCTAGCCTAGTAGCATGGGACAAGATGGGGGCCAGCATCCCAGAAACAGAATTACCCATTCTTTGAGCATTCCCTGGGCAGGAGCATTCCCAGTGAAAGGGGAAAGGTTTCTACCGTGAATTGCACTTCATAGAAGTGAGCAGAAACGGCCCAAGTTGATCATTAAGACAAACAGACAGGAAAGTCCCGGCTCCCAGGGTTATACATGAACTTCCTGTCAGGTGACCTGGCCAGGGGAACACCATGCCAGGTGCCTTGCAACAAGTCTGCAGCATGGCTGTTCCCGGAGAGACACTTACCAGATAGCCATATAGTGCCAACGCTAAGGCTTGAAGAAGGGGGAGGGAGACACAGAACCCAGAGGGAGGAGGCAAGTGACTGACCTCCTCGTGACTGGGCCTGTGAGTCATGGGACATCTGCAGCCCTCCCCCGCTGGTCACTGACCTGCTGCCCTTGGAGTCACAGGCAGCATCTTTCGGAGGTGATGCTGGTGTCCTTGGGGGTGTTCACTGTGACCTCGGCCCTGGTCGCTGGAACCTCCTCACTTGGAGAAGACCCT